CCCCCCCCCCCCCCCCCCCCCAGATAATCCAACAGTACAAATAACACCTTTTATTAATGAACTTTTATGGATATTATTTAACAATATTGGTAACTAGTACATGCTACCTACAATTTATGTTTATCTTAACCATAAAATGAGTTAAAAGACTTTTAGATATAGCGTATAAAATACATACAATAAAAATATATTTTAACTTATGAGGTGGAGGGATGTCAGGGTTTTGATAATAATAAATATATTATATTGCCCCCCCTAGGTTTTTTCCCAGTTACGCCACTGAGTATTTTAGTATTCGTTCATAATCTAAAAACATCACATTAATGAGATTGAGTTTGTAAAAAAAAAAAAAGAAAACATTTTGAATAGTAAATAATTAATAACAATCTTTAAAATTTAAAAAACGCTACATCCCATTTTATAAGTGTTCAGAATTGCAATTTTTTAAAAAAAAAGAAAATCTAGTAATTTCATCAATATTAACTCAAATGTATGTGAACATGTACTTACCTCTAAATAGATACCTGTGAAATTGTTAAAATGTATGGTATCTAAGTGGTAATATAATGGATACTTATGACTAGAGCGCGGATTTTTATGCACTTAAAAGTATCGAAATATGCCATATAATATGCAGTAAAAAATCATGAAAATATGTAAAAAATATGCAAGAATTTTTTATTTATTTCAAATTTATAATTCAACTTATAAAAATTAATTACTTAAATACTTAATACAAAAAAATTTAGAGAATTTTCTGAACTTAATTTATTTTTAAAATTTTATTTATTATTAAAATAAATAATCATATGCATTTCAAGTTTATCTTCTGTGAAGCTGTGTCGTTTATCGGTTTACATATTTTTAAAGACTGAAAACGAACCCTCGATGTCAACCGAAGTTATTGGAGCATATTTGAAGCAAGTGGTATGTCGATAATCGACTGACACAGCAAGAGCGATTAAGTTTACGTCGTAATCGATTATTTATTTTATAACTAAATATATATAAATTATTATTTAGTGACAATGAAATTTATTTTTAATTATTCTGCTTGACAAAATATTATTTTATACATTTTTTTTTTAAATTATCACTTCAATATGCAATAAATTTTGAATGTTGCCAAAATATATAAAAATATGCAACAACCTCTAAATATGCAGAAATATGCAAAAAAAAAAATGCACCATTAGCTTCAAATTATGACGATTCGTGGAGATAACTGACAAAAATCCAAAAATATTGAAAGGAAAAAAAATATGCGATTGCATAGAAATCCGCGCTCTACTTATGACCTATGAGCTTTGCTAATGCTGAAGTACACTATACATAATAATATGTAATTGATATAATATATTATATAGTTTACAATTTAATAAAAATACTTGTATTTTGTGAGTATTCGTAAAATAGTATTTTAAAAGTATTTTCAATACTTTTTTATTCGAATACTAGTATTAGTACCTTAATACTTTTTAAAAGTATTTTTTACAAGACTGCTAATAGAGTCAATAGTGGTGCTGACTTTAATTTACTAAGAGAACATGTGGATATTATCAATAATGGTGATGATGTTAATCATGAATTTAACATATTAGAACAACCCGAAATTTCTTCTTTTTTATTATTTTCATTTGTTTGTTAAAATGATTTTATCATTTTGATGATATCAACAATAGTTTGGATTATGGTGAAAGATAAATTAAAAGTACCTATATCTTTAATTGTGAGTGGATTATATTGTTTTTATTATGTTAATCAATAATTAATATCCCATTTTTAACTTCCATAGTGAGTGAAAACCTTGTTAACAATGCTGATACTACCTTAAGTGTAACAAATGGAGCAATTTGTAATAAAACAGATAGTGATACTATTTATAGTTATGAATATTATGCTTTACAGTCACTAGGTGAAATAATATTTTTTAACATATTACGTATTTTTTATGATTTCTTTTTGGTTTTTAAATTTGAAAATTGTTTTATATCTTTGCTAGAATTCAATCATGAATCATGAATATCATGAATATCTAACTGATAGATTTTTTGTTGAAGTAAATATTCGAAACATAGATATTAAAAAATGTATCATGTCATATGGACCATGTCGACCTGATATTGTATTTCCTATTACAAAAAAAGAAGATGGCTCATCTTATCATTTTCCTTCTTATTATTATGAACAAACATTAAAATCTGATGTAAAAATACCAAGATTTTGGTTATATTATTCAGTTGGTTTGGATTGTGTATACTGTGAGACATGTTGGCTCTTTGCTAATCGCCACTATTCATATTTTAAAAACGCTTGGATTATTGGTATAAATGACTGGCCAAATTTAACAAATAAAATAACTACACATGAAAAGTCGTTGCAACATATTGAAACAAGTAAAACTTGTTCCTTATGGAAACAAAATGAAACAATTGACAAAATATCTGAACGACAATATTCAGAAGAGGCTTTGTTTTGGAGAAACGTACTAGAAAGAATAATTAAAATAATTCTTTTTCTAACTGCTGATAACACAGCACTAAGAGGCCATGAACACAAAAAATGTAATTCAGAACATTTTGATGGTGAAGGCAGTGCTCGACTTAAGGGGGGACGCAGGGGGACGAAACTACCCCAACTAATTTTCAGAAATTCTAGCGTCCCTCTACTATTATTACGCTATAATCATAACGCTTTGTCAGTTTTCGAAACGTCTTTTCTTTTAAAGTAAATAGATTCCCCTTCTTTAATTTTGCCAAGCCGAGCACTGGGTGAAGGTACCAACTAAATAATGTTAAATATCAATAAATTATAATAAAATATTTTTTATTATTATTTCTTAGGTAACTTTATGCGTTCAGTACAATTGTTAGCTGAATATGACCCTATTTTAAATCAACTTTTAAATGATGAAAAAATTAATAAAATAATTCAGTTGGAAGATTCAAAATGAAGTGATTGAATTACTTGCTACAAATAATCGAAACCATATTTGTAATGACATTAGAAATTCACAATGTTTTTCAGTAATTATGGATTCCACACAAGATATTGTAAAACTAGATCAAGTCAGTATTGTGATATGATATGTAATTATAAATTATGATGACCTTGATATTAATATAAAGGAACCATTTTTGGGATTTTTTAAAATTGATAAACATGGAGCTCAAGAATACGAAGAATTAATTACTGAAATTCTATTTAGGTTTAAAATTGACATCAATAAATGTAAAGGACAGGGGTATGACGGGGCTTCAGTTATGAGTGGTGTATATAGTGGAGTCCAAAAACGTATAAAGGATAAGGTCCCCAATGCATCATATGTACATTGCTGTGCGCACAACTTAAATTTAATTATATCAGATGCTGCCAAATGTTCACCAAAAGCGGAATCATTTTTTAATACCATACAATATATTTACAATTTTTTTTAGCGGAAGTGCACCAAGATGGGCAATTTTAGAATTTGGTGATGATCAATCACAAAAAATTAAAACTAAAGTTTTAAAAAAATTGTGTCTAACACGAATCACGACACAAATCTCTTCGTGTATTGAAGTCAAGGTTTATTGATGTTTTGAAAACATTAACCAATATTTCTTTACTAGTATAAAAAAAAAAGTACTACTAGTTTATCTTAAAAAAAAAAAAATTAGAATCTATTAAATTTGTCTTACTATTATGTTTATGGGAGTGTATTTTAAGACCATTACACAGTGTATCAAAAACACTTCAAAACCCTTGTATAAATTTATTTAATGCTTGTAGAAACTTAAAAAATGCTTAAGAAGTTATAGAAAAAAAAAAGTTATAGAAAAATGTTTTCGGAATGTAAACATTTATGTGTCAAATAGGGAATTTCATTCAACTTTCATGTAAGGCTGCAAATATTTGCTGTAAGACATTTCGATGAAGTAGATGGAAATCGTCGACTCAGTGATCTGATGAAAATTTTCGAGTTAAAATAGTTTTACCGGTAATCGACATAGTACTATTTCAACTTAATTTAAGATTTAAAGGTGTAACGTGGTCGGGGATGACCAGTTAAATATATGATATTCAGGGAAGGTTTTCTAGTCCTTATGAATATATTGTACCGTAGCACGGGAGCATAAGAGGAAAGATCTTGATATTACAAATAAATGTAGATTGGTTTAGATTTAGTTATTATTTAATATACATATATAAATTAGACTTACGGACTATGGAGTTCAGCTACCTCGGACGAACGTTGTGGCAGAACTGCCGCGACTTAATATAATAACATGTAAATTAACGTGATGTCTACTCAGCAATATCCATATTACATGAGTAGACATTAATAATATGTAACAATCGTTACATTACCCCCCTCCTTTTTGAACTTACATCTATACAATTTATTCTAAAAAAAAATTTTTTTTTTCAAATATAAAAACATGAGTAAGTGAACACATTGTATGTGTGATTTGTTGATGATGGTCCGATTGATGTGATATTAAGATGAATGATTCTTCCTTAACTTTGCTCATCGATTTGTTCCACCATTTAATTGTAAAGACGGTATGACCGACTTATGATTTTAAGGATGAGGAGAAAATTACCTCACCGCGAACTCCTGGCTGATGTTCACAGTTAACAACATCAAACTC